TTGAGAGAGCATGACTAAGCTGATTTGTATGAGCACTTAAACATTATGGGCTGTGTGTGCCATGAGCTCACACAGCCATGAGTAAGCACAGAACAGAGCATCAAAGCAGTGATATCATTTTCACCATTGAATTTGGTGGCACAACACACAATGAGGACAACCCAGAATGACCACAGGGGACAGTAACCCACACCTTCATACTATAGCAAGAAAATGAGTCAGTGGCATCTAATTACAGTAAGTCTGAGGAAAACCGTTTCAAGACAGCATATCAAAGGAGTAGAGATGGGAGCAATGGGAGCATCTTGGAAACTAAGCAGCCATAGAGGGCACTATCATAGAGCTAATGTACTATTCAGTCCGGAAAGATAATTGCTGTGTTGCTATCTGAATAATACATTTCTCTGACTGAGAGTGCAATAACATAAAGTCGATGTTTGAGCTCCCACAGTCTACAGAGCTGATGAAATCATCATCAAGTCATCGGGGCTGTACCGGCGAGGACGCTGAGATCATGATGTATGTATTTTTTCAGGGAATTTGGCTGATTGATGAATACATGGTGATCTAATTATGTGTGACACTCTTTTACTGCAACAGTTACATAAATGAATAAAAAGCTTTGAATTATATTCCCAGCAGAATTTTATTGGCTGTCTGCCGAGTCACTGGTCAGGTCAGATTTGATTACTTTGAATAAATATTTTTATAATAACAATGCATCAAATGACAAAGTGCAACCATCTGAAGACAATATGAAAGGGATCAGTTGTAGTGACATTCCTACAGCACATAGAATTATCAGAATCCAGAGCTTTCCTCTATGAAGACTTTTTCTAAAACCAATAAATCATAGCCCATACAGACGTAATCCCTGTCAGTCATCAATTATGACCCACTAGAAATGTGTGGTGGTGTATTTATCAACAGAGGCACTGCCCTCTGTCTGTACTTTCTTCTTTTTTTGCTGTATTTTGGACATTTATGGGCGTGTACCCCCAGACAGTGACACCATGTAGGTGAGGTGGGGACTTTATAAGAATGTAGGGACCAGGTATTGGCCACATGCATCCAAGAGAAAGCTATGAAAATCATTAACACAGCGATGAAAAACGCAAATATAGCAAGCTGAAACACCAAGCAGTCAAAGCTCAGAAAGGCAGACAAAGGCTTTCTCTTTACACTCACTAGGGAGCACTTTTTTGTCGGACAGATAGGTGCCAGCAGTTAGCTTAGTTAGCTTCCTAAAATACTGACTTTTCCATTACAACAAATAGCGCTCCTACATTAGTAGCTTGCAGTGTATGGACAAGCAGTGTAGGGAGAGAGGGCTGAGTTTAAATGTTTTGCTAAAGCAACGGTTTCTGCATAGCAGGCCTTAAAACCTTAAGACCTTAAAAGTGCTTGAGAGCGAGATTCAGCTTATTGTTTAGCTATCCTGTTTTGGTTCACTCTCACTCTCACAGCTCTCAGAAATTCGAAAATTCCTCTATTTCTTACTAAAAGAACATTGGTCATATGACAAAAGGTCATTAATTAGCTCATGAAGTGTTTGGAGATTCTCTATGTGGCTTTCACACAAACCCTCAAATAGAAATCAGTAATAATAACCTCAGAATTTCTATCTACAGCAGATGAAGATGAAATCATTACAAAGTCATCTATACAGACAGTAGATATGATGTCACAGCATACTGGCAACAGCATTATTCATCCCACTCTCTTCCAGTAGCTGCATCACATCAGCACATCAGTTTACTGTATTGCCTGTCTCCTCCTGGCACTAACTCCTCTGGTGCAACATCTCCTCAGGAGTCTTCCCTCTCTTGCACTTTGGCCACAGCAGTGAGCCACACAATACTTTAAGCTCTTAGTCTGTTTTTAAAATAAGTTCCAGGAATGTTGCTGGACAGTGAGCAGGTTTCAGACGGTGACCTGACCCTCGCTCTGACTGTCTGTGTGTGTGTCTGTGTGAATGCTGATGTCATTCCCCTGGTCTCACCAGGCGACAGGGTGACTGCAGCCCTAGTAAACTGAGGAGCCAACGGTTAAATATGGAGCTCCAAAACAGACAGGGACCTGTAGTAAATTATGCTAACTCTTAAAAATAAAGGTCCAGTGTGGAGGATTCAGGGGGATATATTGGCATATACATGAATATTATATTTATAACTATGTTTTCCTCAGTGTATAAACACCTGAAACTAAGAACCGCTGTGTTTTTGTTACCTTAAAATGAGCTGCTTATATCTACATAGGGAGCAGCACCTCTTCGGTCCTCTTGCACATGATGCAAAGCCCTTTCTGAGTTTTAACCCAAACCACAAGTTTTTCCTACCTTTAACAAATAGATCCCTTTCTGGTAGAAAGCACTCAAGGAAAATTTCTCCCAACTGTGGCCCTCTTCCACAGAGTCCGCCATGTTGTCCCTATAGTAGCTCAGAACAGACAAACACTGGTCTAGATCAGGCTTTTCAGCCACAGTAGTTCTCCTACACGCTTGGTATGTAGTCAAGAGAAAGTTTTCTTGAGGGCTTACTACCAGAAAGGGATCTCTTGGTTAGGTTAGGAAAAAAGTTGTGGTTTAGGTTAAAATGAATAGATTTAATGTCAGAGGGGACTTTCTTGGAGAAAGACGAGGGCACATGTGCGCATGGCACACGGGCGAATTTTCAGTTGGCTGCCTCTAAACAAAATGCCACTAAATCCTACACACTAGACGTTTATTTACAAAGTGGTTGAATTCATTTTTTACTTATGTACATTACATCCATGTTGCATTTGTTATATTCAAGTGTGGAAAGTAGGCTAACTAAATGCAGAACTTCAGTTTGAGCTACCTGTACTTTCATTTTATACAATTTCATACTTCTACCCTATTTCATATGGGAATATAATACTTTTCACCCCTAAATATGATGCATTTATATTAAAATGATATAACCTATGATAACAACAGGAAAAGAAGCTCTGCAGCAGCAAAATGCTAATTAAAATGCATCATTAATCCAATATGATATTGTACTGTATGATAATGTATAGTTTAACACTCACAGGAGTCATTTTTTGCATAGTAAATAGCATATTTCTAGGGCTAGGTGATATATGTGTGTTTGTGTGTGTGTACCGTATATATATATATATATATATATATACATATTTACTTTTTTTTTTTTTCGTTTTTCTTTTTCTTTTTTTTTTTTTTACCAAAGACTGTGCCATTGATATTCCAACATTATAGGGTCGACAACCACAAAATATTTACACAATGGAATTTTGATAAATAATCATCAGTAATGTGAACATAATGATTAGTTGAGTAAATAAAAGAACAGCGAAACCGTCGGAAAATAAGTTCAGAAAATTACATCACTCTACTGTGATGCAGTCTTTAAAACCACGAAGAGATAAGACTTATGACACTTTGACATCCAAGAGATGATATAGTCTCATATTACAATATCAATATAAGAGGCCTTTTACACGTTGCCGGCTATTTTCATAAACGGACATTTCACCGTCTCCCTTTTCAAAAAGATCTTCGTTTACACTTACCCATGTATATATACACAAGAGCATGCCAAACCTGTAGGTGGCAGTGTAACGAGAGGCTCAAGCCTTCCATGTATCCATTGTCACCATAGCAACATAGGTCGCACTTTTGACACAGGCGCAAGTTCCGGTGCATACTGTGACGTCGGCTGCCTATAACTCCGTTTATCTCCGTTTATCTCAGTTTACATGCAAACGCGCAACCTGAGTTTTCCAAAATCTCCACTCTGGCCGGATTTTTTAGAAAGATTCGTTTTCAGAGGAGAAATCTCCGTTTGCGTGTAAACGAAGGGCACAAACGAAGGAAGATGTCTTCGTTTATCAAAATTACTGTGTACGTGTAAACGGCCTATAAGACTGATATATTGTCCAGCCCTACCTATTTCTGATACTCTGAGTACTTTTTGTTCATAATGTCTCTGTACTTTTATTTAAGTAGGATTTTAAATTTACGGCTTTTACTTGTATTTTTACATTGTAGTGCTGCCACTTTAACTTAAGTACAGAATGTGAATACTTCTGCCACTGCTGGTTATATTCACGTACCACATTTCTGTGCATTGCTCTGTTGCTGTTAAAAGGTAAAGGTTGACGAAAACTTTCAAAGTTGGAACCATGTAATGTCTGGCTTTAGCTGTGCCAACTGAATTTGTAGTGGAAAATGCAGCATAGCTCTTTGGGGTAATGATAAAAACTATAGATAGCCATATGATAAAACGGTCTCTCTGGCACCTCAACAGATGAAATATTAATCGCAAAGCTTCAGGAGAGGTATATTAAGTCTGTCTCTTATTTACGTTCATAAGATTTCCAGAGATTTACAGGCAGAACTGCTATAATTAATTCATGATACTAGGAGGATGGGAACAGGGCTCATGAGTGTTCCAGTCACACTGAGAGACGCAGCAAAACAGCTGTTGGCAAACACATCAGAGAACAGTCACACACATCTCATCTATGAACACACATACACACAGGCCTCCAGGACACACTGATATCTCCACTCCCCGTGTGTGAAACAAGCATCAGACCTGAACTGCTCTGAAAAAATCACTTAAAAACCCTTCTTCTGAAATCACTGCCTGCCAGCTGATTCAGCACAAGCTCCACTCTCATCCACTCTCCACTTACTGTAAATCATCGTCTGTTAACTCAGGCTGCTCTAGCTGTGCATGCCGCACATAAACACACTAAAACTCCTGCACCCAGTTCAGTTATGAGAATGATTTAGCAAATCCAAGGACAGTGCAGAATAGAAATGCTGACTGTAGCAGCCACACAACTCAAATTTCAGCTTTTTACCACCCCAAAAATGAAGTTTCGTGGTATAGTGGAGGAACAGGTGCAGACACAAGAACGCACACATTTAAACTGAGTGTGTGAGGTGCAACAAAAAGTCAAAAAGGACACACAGGGCACAAAGCTCAGTGCTGCATTCACCCACTCACCAGCTCTGAGGCTCTGGGGTAAGCTGCTGGTGAAGTGCTAGAGAGAAACCAAAAAAGGTGCCACGGTCTCCCAACTTATGCAGCGTGTGTGTAGTATCCAGATTAAAGCCCCACACTTGGCTTGAAAGGGTCAACAGAGCCCAGAGGAGGATAGTCCAACGATGAGAGGAACAAGACGAGGGGGAGACAGTGTTCCCATGTCCCAACGGGGCTGCCATAGCAGGGTGCAGGTCCTCTTAGCAGCAGAGCAAGTTCAGTTCAAGAAGGGGAGAATCCTTTTATGGCTCCTAGAGAGATAAAGGAGAAGAATCCTGTGTAGTGTCCTCTGTGGATGCCTCCCTTGTTTCTAATTCTCTTTCTCTTCCTCCCCTGCTCTATCGTGCTGCCTCTCAACTCCGTTTGCTGCTGTCAGTCTGAAGAGCAGGCTGCGAAAATGTGGCCGCCACTAGTATATGTGTGTGTGTGTGTGTGTGTGTGTGTGTTTCTCTCAATGCATGTGCGCCTCCCCCTCCTCTATGCTCAGAGGGAGACAGAGGACAAGTGCCTTGAATAGCCCACTCACTCCTCCCCCTCCCCTCTCTCTTTCACTCCCTCCCTCCCTCCCCTCTCTCAGCTGACATCAACACTCAAGGGACTGCTGCCAAAATACCAGGCAAGGTTGTCAAGATACTTGGAGGCAATTGAATAGAGAGAGAGAGGGTGAAAAGACAGCAGACTGTTTTATCTGTTGGAGTTCACACGGTCCAGAGTGCCTCTCTCTGTGTCCACTCACTGCTGCAGGTGCTCGTAGATCTGAGGAGCATGAAGAGGGAAAAACTGATGTTCAAAGTTAAAAAGCCAGACATGAAGAATCTAAAGGTTCCTCTTTACTCTGAGCTTGAAAGCGCTGACGTCTGACTTGATCTGGAATGAATCAAGGAGACAAAAGAAGCCTAAATGTGCACAGTGACCCAGGAAACTTTATTACAGACCTTTAGCTGTGACAGAGCAGTGAGACAAAATCAGGAAAACTGCAGGACTCCAACAAAGCACATCAAGTGTTATTTTATGTATTCCCTGATGTGAATTATAAGTGGTTTACCTCAATGATTTTCCATACAAGTAGCTCAAACAGCTTAATGCCAGCCTACCTCAGTCATGCCCTCTCACCCACAGCTGCTGTTTTAACCAGCTGATTTCTGTCTCTCTTGGGTCAGTCTGTGTGCAGCTGTCAGTGTGTCACCTCATGTTCCACACAATAAACCTCACACACACAACAGTTGCACACCAACAACGTGAGAAAATGAGGTGCTTTTGTGTGTCACCTTCTCAGTTAGGATTTTGGATAATAAAAGAAAATGCTTAGAGGGATGTGACTTAAGATTTCATTGAGCAGTGAGGTTTTATAGATGAATATTCAACCTCAGTTACCAGAAAAAACGTTAGATTTGCACGTTATTGTGTAACAGATACGTTGAAACCTAATGTTGTTAACGTGGTTAGGTTTACGCACAAAAACCATGTGGTTATGGTTAGGAAAAAATCATGTTTTGTCTCAAAATACTCAGTTTTGTGAGCACGACTGGCAGGAAAAGCAGTGATTTCTCAGTAAAAGACAACTGCTTTTTGTGCCACTATCCCCACCAACGGGTCGCTACAAAGCACCCACATTTGGAGTCTAAAAGGTCATTGGAAACATAGCAATGACTAGCTAAAATACAGCCAGTTTGTTGTCTCTTAGTCTCGAACAGCTTGGCTGGCATCCACTTATAGATTATGTTACTTTTGAAATGTTGACATGATACATATAAAGGTGCAAATGTAACATATTTGGGGTTTGCAGAAACATACGTTTTCTTCTAACTCCTGGACTGGATGTTCATATTTCCATTCAAGTGTAAATCGTTTTATTTGCAGCTAAACGTGCAAGATGAATACATTTATTTTTGAACTTATCCCAAAGGTCTGACTTGCGTGTGCAGAAAGGATCACATCGGGGAAGTGATATCAGAAAACAAAGACGTTGAATGAAGATTTTATATGAATGACACTGCGGGACCACAACAAATAAAAATGCACTTCTACTTTTTACACTGCCAAGAAAAAAACCTCAGAGTTCATTCTGTGGAGGTTCTCTTGTGCGTAATATAGGCTACACTCTATTAGGTACACCTATACAATCTAATGCATTCCAGTACAACAGGTATTGTAGTTATTGAGTATATCCTCAGTTTTAAATAGCTTGTTTTCTCCAGTTGACTAAACCATGTGATGGACTTTGTTGGTGTGATTTTATTATCTGAAAATTCAGCTAAGATGTTAGCTCTGAGCTTTGACAAAGAGGCAGCGAAGCTTCTTAACAAAACTTGCACATTAAGGAGGATTATAACTGACCAAAGATTAGTGTCTCTGGGCACTATCATCAAGGATGAGCCCCTTTCATGTGATCATGCTGGCATCATGTACCAGCTTCTGCTGTCAAACCCTCTCTGCCCCCTGCTGCCTTTATGTGGTAGATGCCTCTTTACACCTTGCTAAAATAATACAGTCTCATCTGATGCTGCTGAAATGTATTGTCTTATACTGACAGGTGTTTCTATTTATTGTTCACTTTATTTACATCAATAATATCTGATGAATTACAGTCCAGCAGCACCACAAGCTCCATCTTTACTGCAGGATTGTTTTCATTAGGCTGCATTGGTTTAAGTTAGAAACCCAATACACTGGCAACTGAGGAGTGGCTTCACAAAAGGACTGTGCAGCTTTTGTGGCTGCTAAACCTGCAGAGATATGACAAAAAGAATCTGTCTGCAGAGAGTTGGTGGGAACTGAAGCACACTGAAAGCACTTGGATATTACATCCCAAACGCAGTTTCTCTCTGCCCTGTTAAGATTCAGCTGCAAAACGTTATTGGCGTGATTGTGCTGTAATAGCATTAGTGCAATATCTTTTGTGAATTGGACCTTAAGACGGGGCAGATAGCAGTTGTGAGTGATGCGTTATTCATAGTGCCATCAGCATTCTTTGTGAATTCACTCCTCAGTGTATCTACAATTTCAGGATAAGATATTTTAGGTATTTATTGTAAGCTACTTTGAGACCAATGCTAATGTCAGCATGCTAACAATTGCACAATGATGATGCTAACATTAAGCTGGTATCAGTGTTCATTTTATTGATGAAAACTATGATAAAGATTTTACGTCACTGACTTTTTGTCCGTGGCAAAAACAAGACGATGACTAAAACTAATAAGCATTTTCGTCTCAAGACTAAGACTAAATCTAAAATAGCTATCAAAATGTACACTGGCTGGTATAAAGTTTGCCATGTTCATCGTCTCAGTTTAATGTATTAGCATGCTAACATTTGCTAATTATCACTAAACACAAACTACAGCTGGGGGTGATGAGAGTATGTCATTAGTTTTGTTGATATTTGGTCATAAAACAAAATATTGGACACATTTGAATATTGAATCCATGGAATTCATCATGAGGAGGACATGAGTGTGTGTCCCAAATTTTATTGAAATCCATCCAATCATTGTTGAGATATTTTACAGTAAATGAGAAATGTCAACCTGCCACTGGCGCTAAAAGAAAAGTGGACAAAGCTGGTAGGATCCATCCTCTGGGGATAACAAATATCATGGCAATCCATCCAATAGTTGATATTGTATGGATGAGATATTTCATTTAAATCTGGACCACAGTCACCAATCAACCACCACTGCCAAACCTTGAGTCATGCAGCTAACATTTCGGGGGGTTTTGTACCTTAAATAGATCATTTGTTAGCAATTATCTTAAGAGATGGAAAAGATGTAAAAATAGCAAAACATGAACACAGTTGGAAACTTGTTATCACTCATCTTCAATGATGGAAACTGATTTAAAAATACTGAAAGATAAATAATGCTGTCAAGTCTGTTTGTGTTTCCAGGCATGTGGGAAAGTTCAGCATGCATGTATCTCCTTGGAGCATCTTGGCCGCAGTGAGAGCACGCACTGGGGAGTTTGTCAGCAGTTGCTCCCACACACAGCTCACTGACTCAGTGTCCTGAATAAATATCTCAAACCTGATCAAAAGGCTGATTTCTGATATCCAAGAACATAGTGTGACCCCTGTCCGCTCTCTGTATGCTGGGCAGCTCTGACTTATAAATACCAGAAGGACGCCACAGAGCAGAAGAAAAGGAGGAAGAAGAAAGGAATGGTGTGGGATGTCGAGAAAATGCTGCAAACATCCTAATGGCAGCTCGGGCAGGAGGCCAGACAAGAATGCCTTCAGACAGAACAAAGCACAGTCAGAGGGAACGACGGAAGAAAGGGATGGAGAAGAAGGGAGCAGAAGTGATGGCTGGCCTTAAAGATTATCTGCCACAACGTCCATGACACCGGCGAAGTGCTCATTAGTAGTCTGAGCCACACCTCAAGGAGAGATCTTATTTTAGACGGCGAGCGGGGAGCAGTACACACGGAGGCAGGGTCGTTTTTCCTGTTATAGCGCCCCTCCACTTTGATGACTGAGACAGCCGCAGTCAGCACTATTACTGTATTGATTAATGGATTGTGTGGGATGCTATAAGAGGGAGTGGTGCTGGTTATTATGGGATTAAATGAAAGCACGCCCACTCGGGCTATTTAACTGCACATGATCCCAAAGGAAGTGGCCAAACTGAGCACAGTGGTTTTGTCAGACTGTTTAGCTACAACTTTATGGATTTATGTAACTCTGATTTAATTTTTCGAGGATTTAGCAAGCAAACTAGTAAATTTCTGCTTTGTTTTGATGCATTGCTGCAAAGCTCCACAAGGTTTTGTGTCCTAAAGACTCCTCATATAATCCTCATTTATGCACACACTGCTGAGACAAATAACTAACTCCTGACTCGAGACAGCAAACAACTAAACAGCTATAACAATATGTAAGTATAATCAGGAAAATGTAGCTGAAATATGCAGTAGTCAATGCAGAAAAATGTCCCCTGTGACTGTTACACTTGTATATCATTAGATTATTACTAGTCCATACCCATTGAGTACAGCATACCATACCATGACTTAGTCATACCAAAAATTAGAAGAAAATCGGTCACATTTTAGCCATTTTTAAGCATTTTTCTGTTGTTATAGCGCCACTCAGTTGCCAATTAGAGTTAAATTTCTCCAGTCACCTTGAGGCGTCCTGTTCTACATATCTATCAAGTTTAGTAAAAATCGATATGGCGGTTAGGCCTAGATAAGAAATTAGCTCTCTAGCGCCCGCATTTTGTTTGATGGGGTCAATAATGGAGGGGTCCCCTCAGATTATGTGTGGTCATATGCCTACAAAGTTGCGTGGTGATCGGTGAAACCCTTGAGATGTTATACACCTTTATGTCACGAGCCACACCCTCCACAATATTCATTGCCTTATAGAAGCTCAGTTTTAGTAAGTTTGCCAAGAGGGAACTTTAGATATTGGTCCCTAGATTATGTTCACCGAGTTTCATGCAGATCGGTCAAACTTCCTAGGAAGAGATCGATTTTAAGTGTTTTTCAAAAAATTCAAAATGGCGGAAAATCTATATAACCGCAAGTTATGGGTTCTTAAGGCAAATTTGTTCCTTGTGAGGAGAGGCGTCACTGTGCAAAGTTTCATGTCTGTACGACATACGGGGCATGAGATATGTCCATTCAAAGTTTGCAATTTCAGTCGGTTGCTATAGCGCCCCCCTTTGGCCAATTGATGTAATATTGCTTCATTCGCATCCTCCCATGACCCTCTACCACTGTGCCAAATTTCACATGGACTGACCGAGTCAGTGACAAGAAAAACGTGGAACAGACCCACACAGACACACACACACACACAGACATAGTTTTCGTCATTATATAGGATAAGATAAGATGAGATAATCCATGCATTAATATCAATGCAGGATTTTACTGTTGTAGTTATTTATTTTCATTATAGCTTGATTCAGTTTAGGACGAGACCCCTTACATACATGAGACTACAGGCTGGAGTGATAGTGTCATCTGAGGGTTTCCGAGTCGAAGCCACTGGGTTAAAGGGAAATTTCGGTTTATTTTAACCCGTCTCCTATTGTCCTAAATTTGTTTCAAGTGACTAGTGACATAGAAATAATAGTTAGCATGTTAGCCGTTAGCCTAGATACAGCCTTAGCGTCAGACCTGTTAAAACGTAAGTGAACGGGCATCCTTTCAAGTGCAAAGTTAGTCCACTAAACAAGCTTTTTCTCCACAAAGACCGCCTCATATCGTTAGGATAAATGTCAGAGAACATATAGAAAACGACATGTTAACTTGTTGTCTTACCTTACCGGTGTGCTGCCATGTTTGTTTACCATCTAGCTCTGCTTTCCAAAGCGCAGCCGAAATATATCTCGCCAGCTCTAGATAAAGCCCAGCTGGATACTAACGTTACTCCAGGTGGAGGTGTCTCGTCCTTGGTCACATCCAGACCTTGAAAATAAGGCTGCAACCGGTCCCATTCCTTGCAACAGAGGCATTCCTCTTCTGTGGGCACTGGGGCACAGCATTCACAGATACACCACCAATCTCCAGAGCGACGCAGCCTTGCAGCAGCCATTCCTCCCCTCTCGTCCTCTACCTATTGCGTCTCTCTCTCTCCTCCTCCGTTCTTCAATTTCACAAAGCTCTTTGTCAGTGTATTCTGGCTCAAATAAATAAGGGCGGCCATCTAACTCTGCAAAATCAAATTCCTCCTCCACAAAGTCGAAGTCTGGCAAAAAGTCAGCCATTATTCTATAAATCTTTCATAAAAAAAAATGAATGAACTTTTCAGGCCACTGTCAGGTTCTGCCTTGCAGCTGTTGCTGCTTGTTCAGGCACGCTATGAGATCGCTGCTTGTTCTCGCCATATTTCGGCTGCGCTTTGGAATGCAGAGCTAAATGGTAAACAAACATGGCAGCACACCGGTAAGGTAAGACAACACGTTTATATGTCGTTTTCTATATGTTCTCTGACATTTATCCCAACGATATGAAGCAGTCTTTGTGGAAAAAAAGCTTGTTTAGTGGACTAACTTTGCACTTGAAAGGTTGCCCGTTCATTTACGTTTTAACAGGTCTGACGCCACGGCTGTATCTAGGCTAACGGCTAACATGCTTACTATTATTTCTATGTCACTAGTCACTTGAAACAAATTTAGGACGATAGGAGACGGGTTGAAATAAACCGAAATTTCCCTTTAAGTTTAGGTGGATAGAAAAGTAAGAAAGTGCACAGGGAAGGCAGAGCCAAGGAGCGACGTCTGTGCAGACTGAACTCTCCTCTGTCGGCCAGGCCATACACTTTACCTCCCCTACTCCCTCATTTTCATGAGAGAGGAGAGGGCAGAGGAGAGGAGAAACTAAAAGGAGAAAACTTAGGCTGCCTAAATTAAACTGAGGTGGAAAAGCATCACTGGGGTCATCAGTTGGAGATAGGGTTGCCATGTGGCAGGATGGTCCCCTTCCTTGTTGCACATGTCTAACAATGTCCTGGTGATTAAGGGCTGACCTATTGTGAAGCTGCAGATGGGGTTCACTTCCTTCCACAACCGCGTGTTGGAGCTGTTTGGGCTACACATGGGTGACAGGATTCTGTCAGTGTCATCTCCAACCTTACCTTGAAGCACTTGCACTCCTCTACAAGACTATATAGAGGGAGCTCCAGAGGGCCTTTAGGGTTAGGGTTAGGGGGTTAGGGGGTAACCCTCTCCAGTCTGTCAACCTTTTCTCCATTAATCAACTGTTTATTTGGTTTGTAAACAGTATAGTAGTAAAGAAAATAGTGAGAAATGTGGTTACAAGTTCTCAGAGCTAAATGGTACAAAATTCAAAATTAATTAAATTAAAAATTAAATTAAATTAAATTAAAAATTAATTAATTAATTAAAATGAGGAAAAGCAGCAAATTCTCACAGTTGGGAAGCTGGAACCATGAAATGTTTTGCATGAAAAAAAAAAGATTAAATCAATTCAAATCAAAATGTTCAATCCCATTTACATTGGACTTCAGACTAATTATACAGTTGATACCTCTGTATATTCTCACCCAGCTAATGAGCTGACACAAGGCTTACCTCAGTGCTGTGGCACTTTGGATTCTCTCTGCAGTCACTGAAAAATTAAAATTATATATTACAGTAATTAAAGGCAACAGAGGATGACCCAGCATTTTTATGGTACCCATCAGACTCAGTTTATAGTCTGCAATCGTCCCTAAAAATAAAACAGGACAACTAACCATGTATCTTTACAGCACCTGTGATTTTAACCCTGGACTTACAAGTATTCATCATCACAATGAGACAATCAGAGGTTTATTGTCTGGCATGTAAAATAATATGCTTGATAACATGACTTTGCAGCTCCAGCAAGCAGCACACAGTATCCCACTGGTTCCATTTTCTATACAAAACAAAAGCAGGTTAGAGGCGACCTCTAGTGGCAGATAGAGTTTATTAAAAAAGAAACATTTTCATCATACATGTTTCATCATAATTTCACCACTGTTTAAGGTCAAACAGGGTGTAGAGTACACACATCCAAATAATCTAACTAACTACTGAAGCCAAGAATCACACAAACTGTACAAACTGTAATAAAAGCTCCCAAAATCCCCAAATTCCTCAGTTGTTCTCAGAATAAACACAGATGGAGTGCAACAATTAAAGTGATGTTTGTTCAGAACATGTGAATGGATCTAAATTGCAAAGAAATACTGAATTTTTCAGAATAAATATCACCTTAACTGTTATCCCATGCTTAATGTAGCCTATTTGTTTGTTGTTATATAATTTGTTTTATTTCTTTTATTGTAATTTTTTTTATCTTCTTTTTTATCCTGACTTGAAATGTGTCTTTTAGTTCTTGTGTTTCTCTCCTAAAATTCAACATTTCTTCAACACTAAACACAAAAAGTAAGGACACTGCTAAACAAATGGCCATAACTGAACCATTATTCATATCACTGAAGCATTATTCATAAAGGTTTACCCGTAAAAAGCAGCAGCAGCAGCAAGATATAACGATACATTAAAGTAGTTTATATTGCAAACACATTACTAGAAAAATGCAGTTTTCCCGAGATATATTTGGATTTAACACCTTGCAAAGAGGGTTTCCACTGTATCAACACACCATAACCCACACATTTCACATGTCTTTGACAGTGGTAGTGCAACCAGGGTTTCAAGGCATGTAGTGCTCTAACTATGCAGTTCAGGAGTAAGCAGGGTTGTAGGGCAGTGGTGCATTGTCATTTGAAGGTGGCGCTGATTCCAAAGGCGGGCCGATGAAGTTCACCATCGGCATCCCTGGATTGAATCCACCTTGACCGTGAGGTGGATTATCTAAAAAGAAAAAATCACATATTTGGTTTGTTATTGTGTCTTTCCCACGCCCCCTTTTTTAACTAGCATGGCCGACCTTGAGGTAAGGAGGAAGGGCAAGGCAAGTTTCAGTCTGTTAATCATATTGTTAAATTACATAATTTGTGTTTAAAGTAAACTAGTAAACGTGTAAAAAAATCATATAAAAGACTGACAATGTTTACGCAGTATTTTTAGAAAAGAAATCTATCCATTGGAATGGACAGCGGATCAGAGTCACACCGGAAAATCTATAGTATAGGGAGATCCTGTTCTGATTTGATTTTCTAATGTTACAGTCAACCTGTACTGCATTTTATTGATTATGTACACAGATTATTAATCTCAGGAGGTTTTCAACATATTGTTTTCTGGAGATACTTGGAAAATTTAGGATATTTTGAGTTGTGATGACAAATACAAAACAATATATAATGTGTTTTAAAGCATCACTTTATTTATTGATATGAGTTACCTATGAATGAAAAATAAATAATCTCATGTTTTTGCTGCATTAATATTCTTCCTCCATTGGAATACACAGGAAAAAATAACACCTAAAGTATCCAAACCAATGTATTATTATTATTATTACATTTAATTTACTTTAATTTAATTCTATTTTATTTTATTGTATTTTATTGTATTTTATCTTATTTTATTTATTTATTTACTTTGTAAATGAGAAGTGAGAGTAAAAATCCAGCTTTACAATATTTTTTGTTTTTGAAACATAACTGGGTTCTGAATGGGTCAAAAGTTTATATGATTTCCCACTAATACTTGGGCACTGTAGTTTTTAGTAAATATTTCTCTATCAGGAGTGAATAGCAGATTTGTTAGGGGCTATTGTCAGATACTGATTCATACACATCTGGTGCTCTGGTGAGTTTTGTCAACAATAGGACTGTGCATGTTTGACTGACTCAAACTAAACCGCCCATGACCATGGTAATGTGACCCAAAGGGTGGCTCCTTGTATGTTTTTAAGTAGGGAGGGTCCGCTAGTTACAAATATGTTTTTCCCCATTCTGTATCACCAGTTCAACTTTTATTGTAAACACTATCCTCAAACATAGGACTCAACTGGATAATGTGATAAGCTAATAGGGTTGTGTTATCGGGCTAAGTTTTACCTGATTTCAACTTACATTTTAAAAAATTAAGGATTTATCCAAAGGTCAAAATACCACAGTACCCTTGAGCCTTGACCTCCACATTTTTTAAATACACAAACTTGTAACTTTGACCTTTTGTAAAAGAAAAAAAAGGTATTTTTTCATCTTTGGTATTGATTATTTGATCAAGGCAGTTTCTTCCAAGTCATAGAGTCTGTGAGTCAAGGAAACTTTTACTTTGGTAACCAGGGGCACCCGAAAAAACCCCTCCTACTTTGGTTTTGGACAACAGTGGAGCTCCATAGTACAGAGAAATATGATATATCAGACTTTGGACATAAACACAATACTCATTAGTAAGATACATTACTTGTAGGTTTTGGTCTCTTCATCAGTTTTGTTGACAATAAAAAAATAAACAATGTGTTTCTAACCCTTTAAATACATAATCACAACACCAACTGATACATAACATCCAGATGGGCTAGTTTGATCAACTGGGTGAAATCCTCCAAGCCTGCTACACCTGGAGGCTCTATAAAACCTTATCACCAGATTAAATGTTGGCATTGTACATGTGTGCAAACCACAGATATGTTACATTTGTACGTTTAATGTATAGCAGATATGTGAAACTGTGAAATTTTATGCTGTGACAGCACTGTGGCTAACGTGTGGATAGGTTCAGGCACCAGAAACACTTGTTTAGGGTTAGGAAAATATCATGTTTTGGCTTATAATACCTGGTTTGATTGCTACAAACACTACTGGACATGTTCTGAACTGTCTTTTTGTGTGTTTTATGTCACTGTCCTTCATCACCGGAACATCTTAGCTAAAGTGGGACAGCCAAGCGGCAACCTCTGAGGCTGAAAAAGAAGCCAATGTGGAAGTGACAAAAACCGCAGTTCATCGCATGGCCACTCGCCGGCTCCAAAACAGAGTCAGTCCCCATAGACCCCCATGTTAAAATACCCAACTGTACAGCAGATATAAACATGTTTACAACCTGGTAAAAACAAACAAAAAAAACATTTTAGTCTGAGTGACAAGCTGTGTGCAAAGGGTTGCTACAGTCTGAGTCAGATCCACCCCTCGCTCCTCCACAGCTCCAACTTTTTGTTCAAATATGGTCACTTCTGGCCCCAAAAAATCAAGATGGCCATGGCTGAAATGCCGAACTTGAGGCTTCAAAACAGCAGTCCACAAACCAATGGGTAACATCACAGTAGCTACATCCATTTTTATATACAGTCTATGGGGACAGCATTATTTAGGTAAACTGTGACCTCGTGTTATGCTTTGTTTTTGCTATAAAACTACATATATCAACTGTTACCAGCATGCCTATAAGTCACACCCCAAACCTGATTGCAGCCATAGTCCCCCCACCCAAGCCCTGAAGTCTATGAGCTCCAGTCAGAGAGAGACATTAAGGTAAATATAGATTAGCTCACCTAAATGGCAGGGTCATCCTTTAGGCTACATTGACATCTAACTTTTAAAATCAGTGTATCCCCACCATACCTATTAATGAGTGAGCTTCCTGATCCCTGATTAGCCTACACGATAAAATATTGACATGATTAAAATAGTGATGAAAATGGAAACATGAAATAGCTACATTCAGACAAGAGTGATTGATAGGCTACATGATTAAAAAATCCTGTTGAATTGTGTTGTTCTGATTACATGATTAACACATTGACAAGACTGAGATGAAATGCTGATAAAAAATAATCCTACATGTAGTCTGAGCTATGTGATACGACATGAAACGTACACGTCACATATCAGTAGGTTGCAGAAATGTACAATACCAACATTTTTTTCTGACAACTGGCCTGCTACTTCTTAGTTTATAAATGTCTGAAAATAACTCACTTCCTCCCATGTATGGTGGCGGTGCTGAAGGGTTGGGCATGCCTCCAAATCCAGGTTGGCCGGGTACGGAGTGGTAACCCCCCGGGTGGGATGGGTAATTATTGGAGGGGGGGAAAGGAAGCTGGGGCCCACTGATCATGGTGGGGGGAGCTGTTGGTGAAGTCATACATTCAGTTTGATTTGAAAATAAGGTCCATATAATTTTAACAAAGCCAAGCTGTTTCTATACTTTGTGCTAAGCTAAGCTAAGCTAACTGGCTGCTACATATACATACAGATGTGAGAATAACATGAAACTTTTCATCTAACTCTCTTAGCAAGAAAGCGAATACGCATATTTCCCAAAATGTCAAACTTTTCCTTTAACTGCTTGCACATATAGTATATTAAAAGTTGTACACTGTAGAGCGTGCACAAACTAAACTGTGACCAAAAATGTGTCCTACCCTGGGACCCTCGGCTGCGTCCTTTTCGACACTTCTTGTAGAACAAGCAGCAAGGAGCCATACAGCAGATGACGACACCCACACAGAGGATGATGGGAAAAAGAGACCCTAAGATGCTTCCAAGGAGTGTACCAAGTTTGCTTTTCCCATGGCCACTCCTGAGGAAAAAGACACAGCAAAAAAAGCTATTTCAGTTTCTTCAAAATGCTGAAATCGTTTCTTGAATTGCAACTGTCTTGTGTTTTTTTAAACACAGGTTGGGAGCAGGAGCACACCCTTTAGAGCAGCGTTGTTGGTCTTCTTGACTAATCCGATATGATCTGTCACTGCAGCAGGATCTTTGATAGCAGTTTCCACAGCAGTAGTAATTGCCACATTGCTGACCTTGATGTTGGTAACCATTTGCATCCACGTAGCTGGTGCAAATTTCAGCTGTAAGATATATAGCACGAAGTGAGGTGAAGACAGGTGAGGGTGGGAGGTTATCTAAGGTGTTTCAGTAATACAAAAACTGGTAACAGATTAGTTGCAAATACATGTACACAAGCTCAAAACAGGCGTCATCTCCACTGAAAAGCAAAATTAAAGTAGTTATGAAACTGCGGCACTCGATAATCAACTGACTGAACTGGTTTCACTTTGTAACCATCTGCATTTGACTGAGGACAGTGTAAACATCCTATACCTGCTGATAAAAACACCAAAATAAAACTCACCCCATACAGTCTGGATCAGGAGCGAACACAGGATGCACACAAGACAGGACAAGACCCTTGAAACCGTAACTGCCATGATGTAGTGTAATAAGCAAATGCGTCTTACTCTGCAGTGAGACGATTGTTTCAACCTGTCTGTCTGTCCCACCCTTAGCAAGCAGCCCTACGGCATTCCTCAATTCATAAGGAGGACTTGTCACTGGAGGATTTATGAAAGATTTTTTTTGCAAAAGGGAGTGCTCCATATAAACGAGCCAAGCATGAGCATAAAAACTGTGTCACAACAACTAATTCAATACAGACGAACAAGACAAGAAACAGTTGCATTTAAATACAGTCAAGATGTGTGTGTGTGTCTTTTTACACTGGCTGTATTTCACCTCTCTTTAGCTGCACACACTCAGTTAAAATGAACTTATTATTTTTGTGCAGGTTTTACATTGATCCCCCCTCTATGGTAATAAAGGAAACCCTTAAAACTGAAACCAGCTCATAAAAATTCATGCCACAGGTGGATGTGCTGTAGCATTGCTACTTTTCAGTTCCTTTCCACATGCGGTTAGGCAATATGTGGATCCACCCAAACTTGCTTTGAACAAGTGTTGTTTATTGCCTCCACCCACTCTCCTCTGAGCTGCTCTTTGATTCTCCAGCATTTATAACTTTCCCCATTTCCCCCTCCACGCCCTTGATAGTGTAGTATAGTGGAAATGTATTTAGGTCCTTGTTAGCAATGTTCTAAAATAATGATAAAGAATAAAAAGCCATAAGGCTTTAAATTAAAAGGGAAAACAAAAAAATATAGAACAAAAAGATGCAGGCTGAAGCTTATGCATGTGCTTTTTACTTAGTATATTCTCAACTCATTTACTACTGGGCTTAAGTCATACAAAAAAAAAAAAAGGAACAGAAAGAAGAGGGAGTATCCATTTTACTGAATGTAAAACAGTATGTGTATTCTTGCTTAGATGTTAACTCATTAATATTTTTGTGATATTAGGGCGTTCTGTCAGGACAGTAGTCACCATATACATTATACATAGACACGTCCCCCCCAGGGTTCAGATATGCTCAAATTGCCGTAGCAGAATGCCAAGGCTGGTTGCCATGGTTGCCATCATATGGTTAACATTCCAGGCAGGCAATGTAAATTTGTCTCTCTATTCATAACTGAATAAAAGTGAAAAACGAGAATGTAATATGAGCGTTACGTAGGCTATATTGTAACTGTTTATTGTGATTTTGTTAAGTGTTATGAAATTTTAATGTCGTGAATGGTTATTGTTTTGCAATGTTGCACCGAATGTAACCACGTTGTAATAGCTAGCTGGCTAGCTAGCCAACTAGCTAGCTCACAACAAGCCTGCGTGTAGTTTGAACTTGGAAGTGTCTCTCATAACGTTAGCGCTGCATGTGTAATTTCACAGTGAGTTGTCATGAGCAAGAGGAAGGGTGGCAGAGACATTCAGCTTTTTTTTGGCCAGTCTCAGAAAAGAAGCAAAGCAAGAGCAGTGAGAAAATGAGTAGCGTTACCCTATCAGTCAGATTATAGAAGTAGCGTTAGTTATATGGTACGGTAGCATTAGTGCAAAAAATGAGTCAGTGTTTCTTGATATAAGAATTATTGTCATTCAGATCAGAAATGGTTTGTAGGCTATCTGAGCAAGAGACACCACTTGTTATCTGATAATAATTCTTCCATGTTCACTTTGGTCTGTTTGACATTCAAAAAAAAAAAGAAACGTCTTTTGCTAATGACTCTACAGAGTAATTATATTCACATTCTTTAAATTTATTCCATTCTTCTTTTCAACCATGTCAGTTCAGACTGAAACATCTCAAAAACTACTGGCCAGATGTTTTCTGTTAGTGTTCCCTGTTTCATGTTGTTCATTCATGTTTAATCTGTTTCCTGTTTTATTTTGTAAATTCTCTCCTCGAGTGTTGTGTCTGGTTTTACTCCGTCTTTGTGTGTTTTCCCACCTGTTGTCTGTCACACCTGTCTCGTTAGTCCTTCCCTGCTCTTAGAGTCACACCTGTTCTGTGTTAGTCTTGTTTGCTCCGCCCTAGTGTTCCCCTTCACACCCTTGTTGATAGCCAACCCCCATTTCCCTCCTTTTGCCCATGTCCTCCTACTCCAGTTGTGTCTTGTTCTTGTGATTAGTTTTCTGTGTATATACAGGTGCTGGTCATATAATTAGAATATCATGAAAAAGTTGATTTATTTCAGTAATTCCATTCAAAAAGTGAAACTTGTATAATGTATACATTCATTCCACACAGACTGATATATTTCAAGTGTTTATTTCTTTTAATTTTGATGATTATAACTGACAACTAATGGAAACCCCAAATTCAGTATCTCAGAAAATTAGAATATTGTGAAAAGGTGCAATATTGAAGACACCTGGTGCCACACTCTAATCAGCTAATTAACTCAAAACACCTGCAAAGGCCTTTAAATGGTCTCTCAGTCTAGTTCTGTAGGCTACACAATCATGGGGAAGACTGCTGACTTGACAGTTGTCCAAAAGACGACCATTGACACCTTGCACAAGGAGGGCAAGACACAAAAGGTCATTGCTAAAGAGGCTGGCTGTTCACAGAGCTCTGTGTCCAAGCACATTAATAGAGAGGCGAAGGGAAGGAAAAGATGTGGTAGAAAAAAGTGTACAAGCAATAGGGATAACCGCACCCTGGAGAGGATTGTGAAACAAAACCCATTCAAAAATGTGGGGGACATTCACAAAGAATGGACTGCAGCTGGAGTCAGTGCTTCAAGAACCACCACGCACCGACGTATGCAAGACATGGGTTTCAGCTGTCGCATTCCTTGTGTCAAGCCACTCTTGAACAAGAGACAGCGTCAGAAGCGTCTTGCCTGGGCTAAAGACAAAAAGGACTGGACTGCTGCTGAGTGGTCCAAAGTTATGTTCTCTGATGAAAGTAAATTTTGCATTTCCTTTGGAAATCAAGGTCCCAGAGTCTGGAGGAAGAGAGGAGAGGCACAGAATCCACGTTGCTTGAGGTCCAGTGTAAAATTTCCACAGTCAGTGATGGTTTGGGGTGCCATGTCATCTGCTGGTGTTGGTCCACTGTGTTTTCTGAGGTCCAAGGTCAATGCAGCCGTCTACCAGGAAGTTTTAGAGCACTTCATGCTTCCTGCTGCTGACCAACTTTATGGAGATGCAGATTTCATTTTCCAACAGGACTTGGCACCTGCACACAGTGCCAAAGCTACCAGTACCTGGTTTAAGGACCATGGTATCCCTGTTCTTGATTGGCCAGCAAACTCGCCTGACCTTAACCCCATAGAAAATCTATGGGGTATTGTGAAGAGGAAGATGCGACACGCCAGACCCAACAATGCAGAAGAGCTGAAGGCCACTATCAGAGCAACCTGGGCTCTCATACCACCTGAGCAGTGCCACAGACTGATCGACTCCATGCCACGCCGCATTGCTGCAGTAATTCAGGCAAAAGGAGCCCCAACTAAGTATTGAGTGCTGTACATGCTCATACTTTTCATGTTCATACTTTTCAGTTGGCCAACATTTCTAAAAATCCTTTTTTTGTATTGGTCTTCAGTAATATTCTAATTTTCTGAGATACTGAATTTGGGATTTTCATTAGTTGTCAGTTATAATCATCAAAATTAAAAGAAAAAAACATTTGAAATATATCAGTCTGTGTGTAATGAATGAATATAATATACAAGTTTCACTTTTTGAATGGAATTACTGAAATAAATCAACTTTTTGATGATATTCTAATTATATGACCAGCACCTGTATACCTGTATGTTTCCCTTTGTTCCTCGTCAGTTCGTCCTTCCTTCATTCCTGTGTTTGTCCCAGTCTGCACGGTGTCCTTTCTTCCTCAAGTTCTTTTCTGTGTGCATCTCTAGTTGGTTCAGTTCAGTTTTAGTTCTTCTTTCATTTGGATTTTTAGTTACCTGTCTGTTCTGGGTATTTTTTAATCAGCTGCATTAAAGCATGCTTTTTGTTAAAACTTCAACCTGCCTTTTACTCTGCACATGGGTCCTCCCTGAACTGATTTCTCAAGCCATTTGAGATAACATAAAAATGTGTACATTATTTAGGAAAAACATGATAGATGCCATGAAAAAAAATCCTGTGGAGGCTACATCCTATTTTGTGTCTAACTGTTCTCTGTCTTCATCATTCTCAAACCATAACATAACAAATGTTGACTAGTTTTCACTCCTGTCACCTAAAAAAGAGGCAGAAAACATCTTATGTGACTGTTTTTATGTTATGAAACACGGGTAGGCTAGGAATTTGGTGTAAACAGCGTTGCAGAGCCTGAGGATGGTTGTAACAGTATTGACATTTCCGGGGATGTTTGTAACATTTTTGACATTTCTGCCTATCTTAGAGCTCTTTTAAGCCTGTGCGTTTAAACCATAGACCTTTCAGTGCTCAAGTAAATACAGCATTGAATGTGGCGCGCCGTTCCTTCGTATGACAGTTTGTCAGTGGCACATGAAGCCAAAATGGTTCAAGTGTCATGTAAAATCATCCTGATGATCTGAGCTTCTTCCATACTGTGAAGCCCATAGAGCAAGCACACTAGTTACTTGTGGCAGCTGAGCTATGCCGACTACGACCGTGCAGCCAATTTCTGGTGGCTGGTTTAGCACTGCGTCAACTTCAATGGGGAAAAATTATTTAATCTTGCAGCTCTTCTAGAGTTTGTAAATGTTATTGGCGCGAATGGATTAAATTCTGATGGTGAAACGAGTCATTTCGTGGTGGTTATGAGGCTCAAAATAAGTATCCACTGATTTACAAGCGTTTCTTTTGCCATTGAAGTCAATGGGAAAAAGTCTTTTTGGGCCGTAGGACATCATGTGACGGACCCTGGAAATTGCAGTACCACTGTTTGGCCACAACGAAAACTGGATGCAAAGCCTGGCGCACTTCTTGTTGGCCTGGTTCAAACTAGTTACATCATGGTTTGGGGCTGCATGAGTGCTGCCACCACTATACCTGACTGTAGGCAAGAGACAGTTGTCTTGGTGCTCTTCACCAAGGTGCCACACACGCTGAAAGAGCACCAAGACAACTGTCCCTTACCTACAGTCAAGTATAGTGGTGGCAGCA